TTTTGATAATCTATGACTGGGAGGGCCCTGCCGCACTGCTTCGGCGCATACGTTGGCTTCATACGTTTTACATGTGCAGACAATCCTGCGCCTGCCGGGACATACCAAGCATCGACGTATTCTTCGACAACTGCTGTTGCAATCTGGTGTCTCCACACATTACCCTTTTTCCTGTTGTTTATCTGAAATTTTCTTGGTTTCACAAATCATGGTATGTGGGCAGCACGGTGCACACTTGCTGGCATCGGGACGGCACTCGCCGTAGAAAATTGCGCCAAATGACACGAGGGAAGCTGGCCTACTATGAACCTGCGCTACGATACTGGCACTTACAGGCAAAGACCATCCACTCGCTAGACTTGATGCGCACCCTTCCTCTTACACAACATTTGGATGTCACGACTTTGCGAGCGCAGGAAGTGAAGACACCCTCATGCAATTTCTTCGGCCCAAACTTAACTCTCCGCACATTTTCCCACTGCTACATCGATTCGGGGTGCCAAACCGACGTTTTCAGTTACCCGCACTTGCGCGCGGGATACCTGGTCTGACTTTGCTACGCCAGTTTGCGCGCATGAGACGAAAGAAGTGGTGGTCCTCGGCGTGGGCCGTATCCACGGGTCCACATGCACAGTTGCAGCATAGGGATGAGACTCATCAACTTTTCAGGTTGACACACGCCCTCGGTAGCGATGGCTATGAACGTTTCCTTAGTGCCCGCACTCTCCGATCCAAATACTGCTCTGTTCTTATTCCTTTTGTACAGACTGGCCAGCCAGACTTCAGAACCAGTTCAGACAAAGGCCAAAAGCAACATCAAGTTGGCCCTTCAACTCAAGGGGTCGGACGCTCCACCCACCAATTTGCCACTGCGATTGAGGGAATTGTCTCATGGTTTCGTTCACCAAGCCACTGACTGGATACGACAATGGATCATTGAACACAAGTCAGCCTTCCCACCAGGGCACGTTCCGAAACGGCCAATTGTTGAAGTACGCAACACAATGCTTCAAGCTATTTTAAACTGTGGCTGCGGCAGTGGGAGCCGGGAAAGGAGGTGGAATGCACGTGTGCGCACTTTCCAGAAGATGTGCCGAAACTAGGCAATGGACATTTGTTCACTTTTGCTGCTAGCTTGGCTGACCCCACTTCGACATTGGGGCGTGCGTTGAGTCAGCATCTTGGAGATACGGTGTGGCCCTCAGAAAGCGCCTTTATGTTCGCCGCAGAACGCGAGATACAACGGTGGCAAAAGCGGTGGCGCCTACCTGACAGTTTGCGAGACGAGTGGGCAGTGTTTCTCACGCAACAGTGCAAGTTGCATGCGTTGCATGCGTCTGGTTCGACTGTGCCAGATGCTGTGACCGTCCGGAAATTGGTAGCTGCCCCTCATTTCAAACAACTGGTTTGTCTCCCTGCAGATCACTTTCCTCACACGGCTTTCTGGAGTTGCCCCGTGCATTTTTATTTTCTTGTTCACTCCGCTCTGAATGATGGCACTATCTTTCAGCTGAACACGTCACGCAACCCCACGGAGGTTGTAAGGGGGATCCAGTCTTGCGTTCCCATTGGTCTTCGCCGACGGTATAAATGGGCATTTTGTTGGTCCAAGTCTTTGCCATACGCTTACATTTTGCCAAAGGAGTCCAAAGCTTGGATGCGGGCCAGACCCATTGTGTCATACGCCGACTGCTGGGCCACGGAGTTGTCACACTGTGGCGGTGGCCGTCCTTATGCTGCTGACAACCATTGTTGGCATGATCGCATCAACCAGTGTGTTCAACGGCTGGTTGAAGGATTTTGTCACTTGCACCGGATAATGAGATTCAGATCTGTTTGCGCAGACAAGAGCGAGTTTGCCGAGCTTTCCGGGGAAGGTACAGACAAGCTGGAAACGGATACAAGACTGTCAGGCTCAGTGACATGGTTCCCCTGCCCCAACAATTACTGAAATACAGCTACGCCACTGTGGGCAATTGCGTTGTTCAACAAACCCGTGGAGCCAGCATGGGCTCACCGGCTGCGCCAGCGTTATGTGGCGCAGTGGCCGCAATGTGGGAATTCTTGTTTCATCAGTCACTTACCCAGCTCACGCAGCGAACTCCTTTATTCCTTGATGCTCGGTACGTTGACAACAGAGTTCTGCTTCATTTTCCTGATGATGTTCGCATGCCGGTATGGCGCCTGTATACAGCCTGTATACAAATAGGGAGTTCTTTGTGACACCGCTGCTGTTGGATGATGTGCAGGGGGATCAACTTTTGGGCTTCCGCACTGACGTACAGCAACGGAGCATCACTCTGCAATTCCCTGTTCACCTGTCTTCATACCGGTCTACGATTAGTGCCAACTCTTGTCGCTTTGTACAGGCAGGCTTTCGCACCCGAGTAATTCTAATTTGTCGTTTGACACGGCCTCGTAGCTTGATTCCCGCACAGATTGGGGATTTGTTGTCTATTTACGCACAGCGTGGGGTTCCAAGAAGCGTGCTCCTACCAACGCTGTCGCAGTTACTCAAGCGTTTCAAGATCATCACGCCACCCACGGCGTAGAAACAACTCACAGAGCTCTCTCTGCCGCTGCTTACAACTTGCCTAGGGAGGGACATACGTGTTTCGTATCTCTTGGTTGTACCTTCGGGATTCATGCCTGTGGTTCAAGCTTCTTACTTAAACTCTCCAGAACATCGCTTGACCGGTTTAGGCCGCTTTGCAGACCATGGGTGTTCTGACACACAGGGCACACTCAGGAACTGTCCTCTGGATTTCTTCTTATGCAAAGGGCCGCCCGCCAAAGGATTGCTCCTTCGTCCAGCAGTACCCGTACGACTTCTCCTTCTTACTCAACTGGCCGCCTCGTCCACGCCTTGCCCCTGCCTGACGCCCGGGCCGCCTTACCGAAGGACTTACTGCGCCCTCCTTCTCTTCTGCGCATGGGCTATGACGACACGCGTCTATCTGGCCTCCCCCTCCCCCAGCCCCAATGCAGAACACGGGTCGACCGGAGTGACTTACTGGATGGCCATCTGGAGAATTGTTCCAAGCTTTGGTTCGGCTCACCACTCGGACCCTCAGAATTGAACATTACTTTTGCTCAAAGTCGTAGGCTTCAGGAACTGACCTCTGGGCCACTTCACTTGAATTGTTCCACGCCTTGGAGAGACTGCTCGTGACAGAATCGCATCCCCCTTGAAAAAGGGGGGGTGCGTGTGTGTGTGTGTAACCCTTGCGGTCCGAAAAAGGGGTCCTTGGGACATGGGAAATTCGCACACAAGTTTTGGTTTCACGCAGGGGGCAGAGGGACTTCTGACATGGCCTCTGCCAACGAAGCTCCATGTCAGATAGTCAGGAAACGTACCTGCTGACTGCACCATACTGCACCTGGGCGACGTTGATCGCAGCTGGTGGGTCGAATTCATGTGTACGTGCCTTGATGTACTCAGGACTCACTGCGAGATTTTCATACTTGAGGAGCGGGTGAACGAAAGCTAGCAGTTGTTGCATGAGATGGGTCGGTGACAGAGTGGATTCATAGGTAGCTTGTGTACACAACGAGAGGCCCGGCAAGATTCGTAGGATGCGACACGCAAACGCACATGGTGGCGTGGCAAACCTTGAAAAATGAACAACGAGAGGCGTCTTAAAGCACCTCTGGGTTCTGCATGCTGCGTGTGCAAAGATTCTTGCGAGGTGGTTTGCCGAGAAGACTGAGGTCTCAAATGAACAAGCTGAATCGGTGGAACATGTAAAAGTTCGTAGCACCAAGTCCAAAACGGGCAAACCGAGACTGCTGAACACTGAGCCACTGCCTGGGGGGGGGGGATGGACCAGGGAGGAATCGAGCCTGAGACCCGGGGGGGGGGGGTCTAAATAATTGATGTTTTTCAATCTTTTCGGCTCAAATAATTGAAAAAATCAATCTTTCGGCATTTGAGCCCCTTACCTTGCTTACGCAAGGAGAAACTTCAGCTAGCTAAAGCTAGCTTTCGTGACTTCAAGTGTGTGTGTGTGTGTGTCTGTCTGTCTGTCTGTCTGTCTGTCTGTCTGTCTGTGTGTGTGTGTGTGTGCGTGTGTGCGTGTGTGCGTGTGTGCGTGTGTGCGTGTGTGCGTGTGTGCGTGTGTGCGTGCGTGTGTGCGTGTGTGCGTGTGTGCGTGTGTGCGTGTGTGCGTGTGTGCGTGTGTGCGTGTGTGCGTGTGTTGGTGTGTGCGTGTGTGTGTGTGTGTCTGTGTGTGTGTGTGCGTGTGCGTGTGCGTGTGCGTGTGCGTGTGCGGTGTGCGGTGTGCGCTGTGCGGTGTGCGGTGGGTGTGTGTGTG